GTCCGTGCATTAACACGACTCATTATTGCCACAATAGCATTCATGGTCTGGGAAGATTCAGCCAAACGCGTCGCACATCCCTGACCTCTACTACTTGTCAGAGGTTTTGTGTGCTCAACAGTCCGGCCCGATTGTACGCTTTGATGTCGACGACTTTTTGCCCCAGCGCATAGCTGGTACGGATACCAATTTTTTCCGCGAGATCTACACTTCCGTAGTGCAGCTTGACCGCTTTCCTCCAATCATACGCGGTGTCAACGTTTCCGTGGCTGTAAACAGCAATCTGCGTATCACTGCTCACTGGCTCGTGGACGATGATGTGACGAACCAATGTGCGTATCGTTGCGTGTAGCTGGGTCGCTGGTGTTTCTGGTTCTGGTGTTTCTGGGGTCACCCATTCCTTCATCTCGTAGTGGTACATATAAACCCACGCGCGTGCTCTCATTTTCCCCCTCGCATATGGCTTGCTTTTTTTTTTTTTTTTTTTATGTCCATGATAGCCCTCGATTGCAACATGGAATTCCAGCTGCGTGACAACCCTTCCGTCATGTTGAACCTCACCGAAAGCTTAGAGCCGGGAGAGCTAGTCACGCGATCGAGTTATTTCAATGCATCGTGAGTCGAACCATTGTTGATTTTTCTTCCTTGCCGCTTCCTGGACCTTGCCTTAGTCATTTTTCTTTTTTGACATCAAAATGCCATGGTATTGCAGCGTCCTACCAGGAGGCGAATATGATTTGCGTCAAATCGAGTGCATTGATGAGGCGGGCCACCGGGCTCAGATCTCAGGATTGGCCGATTCAACCACTCGCTTGAATATTTCTACCACCATCTTCCTGGACGCCAAGGCCCCGGAAATTTACGGCGCATGGTTCGAGTCCGCTGCCGTCACGATTGAAAGCGGAACGGTAACCAACATCCTGTTGACAGTCAACGTGACTGACCTGTCGCCTGTTTCATGCCTGGCTGAGCTGCGAAACCCTCATGACGTCGACTCTTTGGTACAGCTGACTGACGAGCCTACCCTAAGCCGACCCATCACGAGGACCCTTGCAATCAAGATCAGCACAGGCCGGGGATATTATCACCTTCGGCAAATTATCTGCACTGATGCTTTTGGCCTGATCTCAGATGTACCAGTTTCTGCGAGTCTGATGCAGCTCACGCTCGGGTTCGCAAACCCATATCCCCTTGCCAACTGGACGGGCTTGGGTCAGTTGGTCAATTCATCATCTGCGAATGTGACAGCTGAGTTTGGTGCCACAAGTCTCGACCCATCGCTGTTAAACTGCACTATTCTGCTAGAGGACGACTTGGCTCAAATTCACGCCCTTGAAGCCCCTGTGCTTGGCTCCACTCTCCACTTTTCTCTCCACTTTCCTCGATGGTCGTCGCGCCAAAATTTCACTTTCAAGGAGGCGCGGTGCCGTGACAGCTTCAACTACACGATGGTGGCGACACCAGAGAATAGCTTTGGCCTTGCAGGCCTCGGCCAAGTTGCCGTGCAGCAGGTCGATGTCGGGGATGTTCTGGCGCCTGAAGTTCTTCAAGTGCGCCTGCATCCTACAGAGCTTCGAGTTGCCGCAACCTCTGCTGGAATCATCCCGGCAGTGTATAGCGTTGATATCGCGGTGGATTTGGCTGATCTCAGTGGAGTTGAAAATTGCTCCGTTGGTTGGCAGCTTGCGCCCTCAGAGGTATGCTCTTGCAAGGCGTCGTTTGTTCAAAGCGGCGAAGCACTTGTGCCCTTCGAAGTGCATGTCTTCTCATCAACCTAATCGCGACTTGACTGTTGTTCTGCTGCAACACGCTGCTTGGCGCTTCATCTGATAGGATGTGCCCGGTATGACTCTAACTTCCACCTTAAGTGCCATTAATGCCGACGCAACGCAGTGGGGCGGAAGCGTGTTATTGAGCACGAATTCGGGATTGCTGTTGGATAAATCCATACTTAGCTTCGAATACATCAGCTGCCGCGATCGAGTCGGCAACGACGAGCTCTTGACCTCTCTTCGCCTTATTGAGCTGGGTTTGGGCAGCATGGGGGACTTTCAGGTGCCAGCTCAAGTCTATATTGCTACCACGTCCGATGCAACTACGTCCGCTGGGCTGGATGGGACTCCACAACCCACAGGCCCTGCAGCTTCTCAAGGCTCAAGCGCGGGACCCAACCTGGCGCTCATTGCTGGAGCTGCATGCGGGGGTCTTGTTCTTTGTTTACTGGTCCTCATACTCGTTCGGCGTTCGCGCACCCGCCCTTCCACCAAACTTCAACCGGTTTGTTTGTACTTGGTCACGGGTACATATGTATCTGCAAGACTTTGTGCCGCCTCTCAACTGCGATTACTTGCCTGGTCCTCAATGCGTGTATTAGTTGCGTGGATCGGAAACGACCGATGTCATCCGCAGTGGCAATCTTGAGCTACAAGCCCTTCAGTATGTGACCTTGGCTTTGCAAACCAGGCGGAACTGACCTCACTGGGCTCAAACGGATCATGTTCGTGGACACTCATGGTCTGTGTGTGCCTTGACACGCATGCAATGCAACTTGCAGTCAGTACAATCGAGTTTTTGAAGACGCGGAGGGCTATGCAGCTGTGGGCACTGCTGTCGACGGAGCAGGCTACGCTTTACCAGCATCGGGACAGCAGGACGTCTATTACGCTTCCACTTCGCACCAGCATGGCATGGCCCGTCGGGAGCAAACGGCAATGGACATGGCTCACGCCGGCCATAGTCATGGTGATGATGAATTGAACAGCGGTCCTCCTGGTGCAACGCACTACTACAGCCATGTGAGTAGCCCCAGTGCTGTCTATCAGCTCCCGGGCAGACAAAAAGGCCGATTGCCCAACTCGACGTACAGCCACGTCGAACCTGCCTCCTCTCCGGACAGGCCAGCTGGTTATGGCCGTCTTGATGGATCCCACACCACGTATGCAACCACAGCAATAAATGGGTCCGTGGTAGCGCCTGATTCAGGCCTGGCGAATGATCGCGGCTATTTTGTGCTGGATGATCCTCCCCCACCCACCCTGCCCCCTTCTCGCCCACGTCGTCGTGTCCATCTTGAGCCTTCCGACACCTCGGAAAACTCTGTGTAAAAGGAAACAGCCTTGTCGCTAATAGCTGATCACACTACCCTTATTGAATACTGTCAATTGAGTGCTGTACATGTATTTATGATTGTTGACCAGTCTTGAATTGCCCTTCTTGGTGCTGCTGGTGCTGTCCCGAGTCCGTTGCGTCTCCTGCTTGTGTTGTCTATGTTTCTGAAGAGTATTCTTTATCACATGCAGCATGGCAGCATGGATTGCTTTGCCCCGCTCACATCGTATGAATTTTGGACATGTGCCAGCTGCCCGCCGTTCCAGATTGATGTGCGACGTTTACACAACGCTAATATGTGAGTGCGCGTCAATCTGGCGCACACGCCGCCGAGTGGATAAATGCAAATCTCTGACTTTATCTATGCAAGCGGGCAGAACGAATGAGCAAAACAGCTTGATGCACGCTCCAGCGTCTTCACAGTCAGGTGAGCAGTGGCGTGAGAGGGTGGAACTACACACAGGGTTTACTGGGAAGAGTGGCTTGAAGCAGGGTGACTAAGGTCTAAAAACATTGTCATAGCCATGCATCAAAATTATGGCATCATGGCAAGGTGAGCCGTACCATTCGTATCAGCATTAGAGCCATATAGAGGTGCCACAACTCGATGTGCAGGCAGGCAGAGGCGGTGTACATACATCATCGGGAGTGTGCGAATCAAGGGCACCATCAAATGCAAACACCCCCCGCTCTTTGCCAATGTGAAGACAGCCTCCCAAAGACTGTGTGGTGAACAATTGCCCAATCGACACGTCAAGTGAGCCAGTCAAACTTGCCAGGATCGAACAAAGCAAAGCAAACCTCTCACAATCGTACCTCGACCATCGTAGTGACGCCTGATCGGCGAAGCTCAGCCATGGTAATACAGGGGCGCCCTTGCTCATCTCGTGAGTCGCTGTCCAGCAGCACTTGCATCACTTGCCGAAGCTGCCAGTGCGGGCCCCATGCCGCATGGAATCAGAGACGGTTGCCAGAGACACGGCTGCACATGGCGCATTGCATGATGAAACAGGCAGGCGAGATACCTCGCTGTCAATCCAACTCGCTGCCAATGACGCCAGCTCCTTATTGATGCCCGTCTGTTCCTCAATGTTGAGCTAATTTGATCAAAATGTAATCTGCAATGAGGCCCCATCAATCAGTCTGATACGAGGCCAGCTGAGGCACACACACCGGATCTACAACATCGTCCACGAATAAGGATTTGTGCTGCTTGCGCATCCGGTTCTTGCGCACTGTGCACCAGTCATGAGGTTAGCATTGCTTGCGGTGTAGCATGCCAACACGGACATCACCAAAAGGTTTTGGGAAAGTAGGCGAGATCAATCACACCTGTCACGTTTGGAGAGGAGGTTTGCTCTTCGGCTAGGACCGGAGCTGACCCCGCAGAGTCCTCGCCATCCTCGTCCACAGAATCCAGAAGAAGAGTCACAGCTTGTCTATACTCGTGTAGCAGTCATTTGCACCCACATGAACCGTAGATTGGCCGATGAATTCGCTCGCATGCACCAATGTGTTTGGTTGCGTTTGCGTATCGTTCAGAGTGATGGCCAAGAAAGGGTCAGGCCAGGCGGGGAGAAACGGACCGGGGCTTGACGTTGGCAGCATCGACTGCTTGTGAACGTCGCCGGTAAACGCTAATGACCTGCGAACGATTGCGCAGGCTATCGCGCTGATCGGTGACGGCTCGGCGGCGTCCGACAAACCCCTCGCTGCCCACATTCTATCAGACATTTGTGCATTAGAAGGCACAACTCGACGCTAGCTCAAACCACCGATCCTTTGGGCTGCGTGGCATACCTGGTCAAGCTGTGAGGCAACTGCTGTGGCACGGGCCGAGCGAGATCGCTGGAACTTCGACCGGTCATCCGACTACACCACGAGAGCAAGTGCAAGATGTTAAACCCTTTTGTATGGCTTAGTCAACAGAGGTACAGACAAGTGCGACAGTAAAGGTGGGGGGATCGCCAACGTGCAGGCACAGGGTTGTTGCCAAACTTGGTACCTTTGCAGGTTGCTCACGGCGCAAACGGATTCGGCTACTCTCTACGGTTCCAGCCTCTGAGTCATGTCGTTCCAGCGTGTGGTGCAGGTCTGCTGCAATTGGGCCGGGGACAACCGACGCTGCCGCAGCGACATGGGGGACATTGGAGGCCGATTTAGTGACGTCTGTTGCTTCACCGCTCCCAGCGTCGGCTGTAACCGATTGCTTGAGCAGCAAATCGATTTTGCGCTGCAACTTGGCACGCTTGGCGCGATACAGGTTGACCACCTGCCCGGTGCCGTCAAGAAAGAATGAACCAACCAGGAAGAAAACACCCCAAGTGAGAAACATGAAAATATCTCCTCAGTGCCCGTCCAAATTACCTTGCTTCCCAATGCTTTCCTACGCCCCCCAAGTCTTTGTCGGCCCTTCTTTTCATTCGCGAGGCATTGCTCATTGCGCACCTGCTCCTGATGCAATTTTTCCTCGGCCTCCAAAACTCGGAGAAAGTTTTCCAGTTCGGGAACGGCAAACTTGCTCCAGTCCACCTGCAGCGGTGCACAGCGGATCGAGGATGTGACACATAAACCAGGAGAGCAACAGCTTGTGACCTTGAGCTGATTTGTTCCCGCGACTTTGAAATCCTTGCCCCCGCGAAATAGGTAAGCATACATTGAGCTCGGGCCTCTTGCGAAATTGCTCCTCCAGTAACTCATGTGGCGTCTTCCGATGCCTTCCTGCAACGTTCATGCTTGCCGTACCCACTGCATCTGCACTGATGCCGTTGCTACCGTTTCCTTCGACCTTGTCTTGGCTACGAGCGGCTGTGCCGTTTGCAGGAGACCCTTCAACGGAAGGTGCCTCTGGCAAAGCCTCCCCCCAGACCAAGCTGCAGTACTTGGAAAGCGTGTCTTGCGTCACTGATGAAAGCGACTCGCGCATGTTGAAAGTGGCCGAGCGGTGACGCATGCTATGCGATCGACGGCGGGCTTGAGTTTGAGGCCTCAGCAAGAGCTTGAGATCATCTGCCGACAGCGTGTGGGCGCCGCTATTGTGCACAACCGGCGCTGGCGCGTTGCCATCTGCGGTTGTGACATCAATGTCCGGCACCACTGCAAGCGCAGGAGCGAGCGTGTGGCAAGGTACATTTCAGAATCTGTTTTGACCAACGGCAATTGCAATGAGCAACGGCGTGTGCACTAACCTTCGGCACTCATGCTAGGGGAAGACAATGCGGGCGATTGCTTGCCACCGGTGCTCTGCCCGCTGCCATCCGCCGTGCCCTGAGGTTGGATGACAGACATGCGCAGCATGCGCGTATCGACTGAACCAAAAGATGCAACCAACTTGTGAGATTGCGTGAGAGCGAGGAGCAAACGAAGGCGGGACAGCTTGACGCAAGTGGCAAACTGAAAAAAGAGGGCAGTTGACGAACAATTTGTCGCATCATCATCGCGCGGGGGCGCGCCCACGACAATAAAGTATGGCTCGAGATCTGGATGACCATGCAGTCATGCATACACGTCAGCAAGTTGAGTTGAGCTCCCCCTTGCCTTGTATGGCAACGAGGGCACACACACACACACACACACACACACACACACACACACACATGACAGACCTTCAGAAAAAGCCTCGCGAAGTAGGCCTCGTTGTACTGCTGTTTCCACGATGCCCTCGATGCTCTATTATGACGGGCATGTTTTGCATGTATTGAGGCACGAGTCAGGCGATATGGCATGGCTAACTAGAGGGATAGGGATACCAACCTCAAACCCATGGGCAATGTCGTCCTGTAGCAGCTCGCGCATGGAGATCACAGGTCGACCTTGAGCGTCTTCGTGACCGCGACCCTTGATGGCAGAAAGAAGGCGACGAAGGTTGCGGTTTAACCAGCGCACAGCACGCGAGCGAGTTTCTACGCATAAAAGTAGCATGACAAGTTAGCCTAAAGAGACGCTTTTGGGCTGACAAACTTTTGCGACTCAACATGGGGTGGGTACATTGTGGCGCGGTACGCCTTGACACAGACCAGCGTCAATGTTGCTTTCCGCCTCGGCCTCGCGTAGCTCGCGAACGTAGGCCTGTTTGACACGAGAGTTTGGGTGAAAATGAAGAGACGGGATATCACGGTGGATGAGGTTCAATCAGCACCTGACTTCTTCGGCGCTGAAAGACTGGACTGTCATTGATACGAACTGACCTCCTCCAACAACGCTTCTTGGCGCAGCTGACCCAGCGCTTGTAGGAGATCATCAACGGCATCTCGATCTTCGTCTGCTCAGAAAGGGGTGCAAGTGCACAAGAAGCTCAGCACGACTGTTTTTCAATCGGACTTGGGCTTTCGACTGGACACTTACTAAAGTCTGATTCAACCTGTGTCTCGAGACGATCCAGCTTGGAAAGCAATTGTTGGCGCATGCCATCGCTTTGGGCGTCGCGATACCATGCTGGGCACAAAATCAAAAGGCAGAGTGAAAATACAATGGCGTTGTGCTGAGCAGAACCGAACAAGTGATGGCAAGCGGCGGACGCAGCCCCAGCCCGAGCCATTTGGGTCCTCCCTGGTACGCTCCGACCCAACGCGCTGCTTGAGTGTGAGCAAGCTGGCTCAAAGGCCTGCCATGAACAACACTGCCTGTGCGCTGTACAAAAGTGCACCTGCAGGCCTAAAGGACGGGAGGCGCGACGGGCAGATTCACCTGGTGTATGCTGCGGTTCAAAGGACTCGGCGAGCAGGGCCTCGATCTCGTCCAGCTCACGCAAGATGGGATCCAACCGCGACGTCATGGTCATGAGTACCACTCAACCGAAAGACAGGCCAAAGCCTCAACTTGATCAAGCCGTGCGTCACAGAGGCTGCTCCGCCTCCACAGGTACCAAAAGCACGCGTCCTGCCTCAGCACTACGACCTGGGCCCTCTACCCACGACCCTCCAGCGCCGACAACACACAGAAAGAAAAGAGACAAGTGTGTGTGTGTGTGTGTGTGTGTGTGTGTGTGTGTGTGTGTGTGTGTGTGTGTGTGTGTGTGTGTGTGTGTGTGTGTGTGTGTGTGTGTGTGTGTGTGTGTTTGCCAACAAACAATTTTCCAACAACACAACAAAAAAAAAAAAAAAAATTGAGTTTGCAAGGCCTCATCGCCAGAGTGTGTTTATCTTGATGGAGTTTACAACCAGGTTTCATGGGGCTGGACTGGCGAACAAACGCCTGTGTGGGAGGTGCGATGATGTATGGGGAATGAGCAAAGAGACTTGGCATGTGAGATCAAAGGCGAGCGTTGTGCTCGTGCCGGGGAGCGTGTGGGAACGGGAAGAGCTGACATAATATGAATTTGGGTTGAGGCAAATCAAGGCAAGCATAAAGCTGTACTGCTGTCCCAGACAACAGCAAGCAAGCAAGCACAGCCACAAGCACCGTGCATGCCTAAGACCCGCGCTGCAGCTAGATGATCGTTTCATCAGGCTCTCGGTGACCGCAGCGCCTACCCAGCTCAGCATGGGAGTGGCTTAGACTCAGGGCAATGATCAGTGTCTTAAATGTCATTGAGCACGCGCTCGATATCAGTCAGGTGGTACTTGTGGAAGCGCATAATCTCAGCCACGCGAGCGCGATGGCGCTTATCCTACAAATTCACCAACACACGTTCATGAGGCCAGGTGCAGCAACCAAGAAGCTCCGCCACAGCGCTCGTACCATGTTGGTTTGAATGCCCTCGAGAAGCTTGGTGCGCGCCTCGGTAACAGCAGCCAGAATGGCATCTTCTGTGCTATCCACCTCGCCGATGTGATTATCGTGTGCCGTAGTCATGGCCGAGCCAAGCGCAAGCTTGTCACGCAACACCTCTTGCGCTTGAGGTGACAGCTGCAAAGCATTGAGTTCCATCTCGCCCTTGATAATGGCATCAATGTGCCCGTTGGCCACATCCCCGACTTGCGTCTCAATCTCTTCAATCAGCTGGCGCACCTCTGTAAAGGTAGATTGCGCTTGCTCTGTCACCTTGCTGCACATTTCGACGTAGGCGCGCTCAAAGTTGCCCAACATGTCCTCAATCTGTCCAACCAAATCGATTTCTGCATCCATAAGCTGGTGCTTGAGCGCCCCGAGATCATCCCGTAGCACCTCGGCACGCTCCATGTCCACCGCCGATCCACTCGCCGCCAGAGCGCTGATAATCTGCGACGCAACAATGGTGAGGCTGCAGCGGTCAAACTGCTGACCGGAATATGCCCCTGCTCAGCACCTGGTGCAAAGCTGTGTACACGACTTTGCTTCCAACCAAACACCTTACCTCGGCTTTTCGTTCAATAAACTCCTCCAGACGTCGGGCATCTCGGTCATTGATGGCCTCGATGCCATCCTGCAAGGCCTCACGAAACTCGGCCTCTTCATCATTACGGCGCTCGCTCTCAGAGACAGCAAACTCCACCAGAGTGTCAATCGCAGTGACAAGACGCGCCTCGAGAGTTTCAAACAGCTCATCCATGCCCTCCACCTCTCGTAACGAGGCAAAGTCCTTGTCGACCATGCGTGAAAAGAAGGCTGAACCCGAGAGGCCGGGCACGCAAGCTTTTGCCAAGCGTGCCCGCTGCGCTGCAGCCTCTTCCTCGCGCTCTTCAGCCAGAATTTGATCCGCATCAGCCTTTTCAACCACCTCGAGCTGATCCTGGTACTTTATCCGCGCGGATTGGCGCTAAAAGCACAGGTTTCGCCATGCACGCGCGTGGGTCAACACAAGGATGAGTGGTTCTACCTGTGACATGGCCTACCAAATTGAATGCGAAGGCAGGCAAGAAGGGGTTGATAGCTCCGGCTCACCGTCTCCGCGGCCACACGCCGATAATCCAAGAAGACAAGCTGGGGCAACATCGCAATGCAATATGACTCGTAGCGTGGGTCATCACACAGCGGATTCTCTGCAAGGTTCAAGCATGATAGTTTGCGAAACCGGCGGAGGTACAGCACGGGCGCCTACAGAGTTGGATGCAGGTGCATCAGTCATAAGATAAGCGCATCCGTCGTCGCCACCCATGTCGAGCCCCATTTGGACACCTCCTGAGGCGCGCTCTCACGAAGAACTGACATCATCCAGCGAAGCCAGGTTATTTTGGCCCACGGAGAGGACTTCAAGGTGTTTGAGTTGATCCAAGCCCTCAAGGCGCTGAATTTTATTTGAGTGAAGGCTGAGGTCCTTCAGCTTGGTGAGTTTATCAAGGCCCTCGATGCGCTCAATCTGATTGTACGACAAATCTGGTTGCGGAAGTATGCGTAGGCCAGGAAAGAGGGTCAGACGGACAGGTCATGGTCCCTCGAGTGGCATCCCAACATCAAAAGGCAGCTGAGACGACCAAACCTACCGAGCCATTCGAGGTGAACGAGAGAGTCAAGATTCTCGATGGTCTCGATCAAGTTGTTGTCCAACTGAAGCTTGCGCAGGTTGGTAAAGGCCCAGAGGTTATCAATCTTCAAGATTTCTACATGATGCATCAGTCAGCACCTGTCAGGCGGGGAAACCAGGTCCAGGACCTGAATGGAAGCACAAAATAAGGACAGGATGGGTTGCCGATAGCCTTACTTGAAAGGTCCAGGCGTAGCATGACAATGTCCTTCTCGCTGGCATCGACATCTTGGCCATAAGCTTTCTGCGCCTCTGGGGCCTGTTCGGTGACGGCTTTATGGAGCAGCTCATCGTTGATCACAGCGATTTTCTCGCCAAACCCAAAGACGTGCGCCATCGTGCCGGGTCACGATGCAATGGTGCTGGCCCGGTCCGATGCGGAACGACCGCGTTGAATGCCCGTGGTCTCCTGATCGCGGAATCAGCAAGGGAGAATTGCGTACGGTCTGACCTGCCAAAGGCACGCTCTAGCTAAACAGGACAAAGAGGTGCCACCACAAAATCCTCAAGCCCGTGTGATCTCGTGTCTTTTTGCTCCGCCTTGCCCGCTGTCGCCTCGCTGAACCGTGCTGGCCACTTTGTCGGCCAGAAAAAAAAAAAGCGTTGTCAGGTCTTGTCAAGTTTATCAATTCGATCATATTTGTCATTGAGATTTGTCAGCGAAATCGTTCGTTTGAGTGAGTTACGTAATCGGTTCAGAACTCGAGATAAATTATGAGAGAGGTACGCGGCAATGCCGGAAATGCTCTTCCGTCCGTCGTACAGTCTTGAACAAGTAAGCGACGAGGAAACAAGCAAGTTACGAGGAATGGCTCTGAATACAAGGGCAAGATTACAAGGGCAAGATTCCAAAGGCGCTTCGCATGGCAAAGGCACTTCAAGTGATCTCCCTAGACATCAGCTTCATGGGCATCACTCGGAGGCTGTCTCGCCTCCGCAGCCACGATTGGCCGTAGCATAGGGTGAGATTCATGCTGAATCGGAGTGGTAGACAAGGAATCCAACCAATCTGCGCGGGGTGAAGCACGTGATGAAGGTGCTCGAGCTGCAGCCGAAGGTGGTGGGCGGGGACTGAGCAGGAGGTTGGCCCTCTCCAGGCGTCGCTGCTCGCGACGTGCCATCAGCTGGCTTTGGGCACGTAGCAGCTGCTGTCGTCGCTCTGCGGCTGTCATTGATGGGGAACGACGAGGCGTGCCGGGTAGCAGGGTTGGGGAGACCGCCTCTTCCAAGGACTGATCGCTAATGCGCCTCTGATGCTCGAATGGCGGTGGGTCCGCACTCGTCACGCGCCACGTGTGAGGAAGGGTAGTGGGCACAAACGGTACTGCTTGCTCCTGCGCTGCAAATGCCCGACGAACGGGTGGTGCTTGCAGAGCAGAAGGATCCATCGGCGGGGGCGGATCCATTGGTGGGGGGACGCTGGGCGGCACGAGACGCCCGACGGTAGACCAGGATTCCGATTTTTCCCCTCCATTGGTGGAGGAGATTGGCAGCGGTGCCACGCGAGTGCGTCGGCGTTGTTGCAACGGAACTACAGCGTCGTGGGGTGCAAGTGCAGTGCGCAGCTCGCTGTCAACGTCGGACACGGAAAGCGAGACGCGACGGGCGGGTACGTCGGCATATCCCAGTGCACTGTGCCCTCGTGAAAAGGACGGGTGTTCTGAGTCCTGTGCTGGCATGACCAGCACCCTCGAAGGCGTTGTACATGATGAAGCCACACTCGCGGGAGCTGGCCATGCTGCCTCCACGTCCTCATAGCCCCGAGATGCCCCAAAGAAAACTTCATCGTAGTTGCTATAGCCAGGGGAATATGGATGCAAGGTTGAGCGCGCCCAGCGCGATGACGGACTCTCTGGAAGCGAAGCAAAGCGAGGTGGTCGAGCCGTGCCCTGTGGTGACCCGGGCCCATTGTTTGGCAGGGTGCGAATAGACATTGGCGATACGGTGTCAAAAAACGTTGCTTCCGACGCCAGCCGAGCCTGCTTGCCCTGAATTTCCTGAACCGCATATCGTTGGTGGTGATAATGGCGCCAACGGACCACAGCCCAAAACAGCAGAATTGCACCCATCAACACCAGCAGCACAACCAGCAGCACCAGCCACAAAGGCATGGCATCTGTGTCCTCAGAGGGACTGCGAACATCACCCACGATGCCCGTTCGTGACGTTGGTACGGGCGTGGTTGACACCGTGTTGCTGCCCCCGCGCTCAAGGTACTCGAGTCGCGATAGAAGCTGTGCAAGTGGGAGGCCGTTGAAGAGGACGTCGAGATTACGGCCCACAAGCGCTTCCCGGATCACATCCACAGGCACCAAAAAGTTCAAAAAGGGCGAATTCTGCTTCCGCAGCTGGAGCATGAGTGCCGAGTGGCTACTATTGATGGATAAGACATTAATCAGCACAAAGTCTAGTTCTGGTGCGTCGCGGCGTCGGCTCTGCTGCCCGTCTACGTGAGCGCGAACGATGGCTGTCAACGTGATGGCAAATTGAAATTGTTCGTCCTGTGATAGCGACGCCTGATCAAAAAGAGCGACGACGGTGCCTTCATCATTGCCAGGAGGTACCCAGCCCACCACATTCTCCGCCGTCGTTATCAAAAGGTCCTCCGTTGTGGTCAAGGGGGATTCTTCCGCTGTAGTCGAGAAAGATTCTTCCGTCGTTGTGACGGGAGACGACGAGCTGCTAGTCGATGGTGCGACAGCGCTCGCTGTGGTGCCAGATGTACTTGCACTGACGTGGGACGTAGTCGATGCCGTGGTAGAGGACGTCGGCGCAGTTGGGCGCAAGAAAATTTCCCCAAGAATGGGCATAAAACCGGACGATGTAGGTCGCACAAAAGTGAGAGTAACAACAACTCGCTCACCACGACACGCCCAAGGTCTGAAAATTGTTGCCTTTTCCGTGCCTCCCCTGGTCGCCACATCGACTCCGGTGAGCGTGACATTCACGCTGGCAGATGCACATGCGATGGTAGCTCTGAACTTAAAGCTTGCAACAGCGTCGTCTGTGCGACGAAAGAAACGCAGGCCAAAAAGCTGCGTCGACCAATTGCCGTCAGTCTCTTGAGCCTGTATGGGCAGGCGCCCAAGGTCTTGCCACATGCTCAGGTTGCTCAGTACGTAAAGCCCTTGATGAGTACCAAGAGCACCCACTTCGGGCCCATAAGCTGCAACAAAAGCTGAACCCTCCAAGTGCCACTCGGGTACGTCGAACGAGATGCTGTCGTTCCCCCAAGCGAAATCGCCATTGCGGATCCTAAGCTCCTCGTACGACATGTCAGCAGAAGTCGTACTTGTGCTGCTGCTCGCACGAGTGCTCGTACTAGTAGTGCTCAAACTGGAGCTTGTACTGGTACTCGAACTTGAGCTTGAGCTTGTACTAGTGCTTGAACTTGTGCTCGAACCAGTGCTCGTACTGGTACTCGAACTTGAGCTGAACCCTCCAAGTGCCACTCGGGTACGTCGAACGAGATGCTGTCGTTCCCCCAAGCGAAATCGCCATTGCGGATCCTAAGCTCCTCGTACGACATGTCAGCAGAAGTCGTACTTGTGCTGCTGCTCGCACGAGTGCTCGTACTAGTAGTGCTCAAACTGGAGCTTGTACTGGTACTCGAACTTGAGCTTGAGCTTGTACTAGTGCTTGAACTTGTGCTCGAACCAGTGCTCGTACTGGTACTCGAACTTGAGCTTGGGCTTGTACTAGTGCTTGAACGTGTGCTCGAACTAGTGCTCGTACTGGTACTCGAACTTGAGCTTGAGCTTGTACTAGTGCTTGAACTTGTGCTCGAACTAGTGCTCGTACTGGTACTCGAACTTGAGCTTGAGCTTGTACTAGTGCTTGAGCTTGTATTAGTGCTTGAGCTTGTACTAGTGCTTGAACTTGTACTAGTGCTTGAACTTGTACTAGTGCTTGAACTTGTGCTCGAACCAGTGCTCGTACTGGTACTCGAACTTGAGCTTGGGCTTGTACTAGTGCTTGAACGTGTGCTCGAACTAGTGCTCGTACTGGTACTCGAACTTGAGCTTGAGCTTGTACTAGTGCTTGAACTTGTGCTCGAACTAGTGCTCGTACTGGTACTCGAACTTGAGCTTGAGCTTGTACTAGTGCTTGAGCTTGTATTAGTGCTTGAACTTGTACTAGTGCTTGAACTTGTACTAGTGCTTGAACTTGTGCTCGAACTAATGCTCGTACTGGTACTCGTACTGATACTCGTACTGATACTCAAACTTGAGCTTGAGCTTGTATTAGTACTCGAACTTGTGCTCGTTCTTGTACTTGAGCTTGAGCTTGAGCTTGAGCTAGAGTCCGTTGATGAGCTTGGGCTTGTATTAGTGCTCGTACTTGTGCTCGTTCTTGTACTTGAGCTCGTACTAGTGCTCGAACTTGAGCTTGAGCTGGTGCTGCTGCTCGTACTGCTGTCCGTGCTTGTGCTAGTGCGTGAATCGATCGTGCTTCCTAAAGTTGAGGACGTCGAGGTCGAGGTCGAGGTCGAGGTCGAGGTTGAGGTCGGAGTCGAGGTCGAGGTCGGAGTCGGAGTCGAGGTCGAGGTCGAGGTCGAGGTCGGAGCGGTGGAACGACCTGAGGTCGTCAATTCGTCTGACCCGGAACCACTGTCTTCTTCGTGTGTTGTAACCAAGCCTTCAGTTGTGTAGGCACTCGGAGTGGTTGATGCGGGTTGAAGGCCTGTGCTTGTTGTGCCCAGGCCGGGGGTTGAGAACTGACTTGGTCCTGAGGTCTGAACACCTGTACTTGTGACGGTCGGATCTTTGTTGCTTAAACTTGACATGCTAGTAAAAGTTGACGTGGGATCCGTTGCAGAAGTTGAAGTCGACGAAAATTGTGTCGTCGAAGTGGACGTTGAAGTTTTGTGTGTAAATGAACTTGAGATAGACGTCGAGGTAGACGTCGAGGTAGACGTCGAGGTAGACGTCGAGGTAGACGTCGAGGTAAATGTCGAGGTAGACGTCGAGGTGACACTAAAGGTAGACGTCGAGGTAGACGTCGAGGTAGACGTCGAGGTAGACGTCGAGGTAGACGTCGAGGTAGACGTCGAGGTAGACGTCGAGGTGACACTAAAGGTAGACGTCGAGGTAGATGTCGAGGTGACACTCGAGGTAGACGACGAGGTAGACGTCGAGGTAGACGTCGAGGTAGACGTCGAGGTAGACGTCGAGGTGACACTAAAGGTAGACGTCGAGGACAAAGGTGAGCTGGAGGTGGAAGTTGACGTCCAGCTGGATGTTGCAGTTGAAGTCAGAGTGCTCGTAGACTTTGTAGCTTGGAGCAGACTGGAGCTGGGCTCTTGGGTGAAAGTAGATGTCGACGTTGAGGTCAGAGTTGAGGGCAAGCTGCTTGGGGTCATCGTGGAAGGTGAGAAAGGGGTGGTGGCCCACGAGGTTGTCGTCTGAGGTGGGCTAGACGAAGCTGTGCTCAACTGAACATCACCACTACCACTATTTGAAGTGTCATCCTCTCGATCTGTCGTGGAAACTGCTGGCGTGCCAGTTGTATTCGTCGCAGGTTGTGTTGTATTGAATGTATTTGTGGCCGTAGAAACACCCGTCGAGGGAACTGACGTGCTCAGCCCGACATCACCAGAACTCTCCTCCTGGGTGGTTGTACTCAAGACAGACCAGCCAGACTCATCCACAAGGTCTTCAGATGTGCTTGTTGACGCGGGTGTGCTTGTCATGAGATCGGGGCGAACTGAGGTGCTGGCAGACGCGTTGACAGTCGAGAGTACCCCGTCGGTCGTGCTTTTGTCATTTACACGAGTGCTCGAGTCTGAGAGACTGCTCGATATGCTGGAGCTCAAGCTCGTGCTCGAGCTGCTACTCGTGCTGGTGCTGGTGCTCGTGCTCGTGCTCGTGCTGGTGCTGGTCCTCGTGCTGGTGCTGGTGCTGGTCCTCGTGCTGGCGCTGGCGCTGGTGCTGGTCCTCGTGCTGGTGCTGGTGCTGGTGCTGGTGCTGGTGCTGGTGCTGGTGCTGGTGCTGGTGCTGGTGCTGGTCCTGGTGCTGGTGCTGGTGCTGGTGCTGGTGCTGGTGCTGGTGCTGGTGCTTGTGCTGGTGCTGGTGCTGGTGCTGGTGCTGGTGCTGGTGCTGGTGCTGGTGCTGGTGCTGGTGCTCGTGCTGGTGCTGGTGCTGGTGCTCGTGCTCGTGCTCGTGCTAGTGCTGGTTTCCATGGCCGTACTTGAATGAACACTGCTGGAGGTGGTGAGTCCAAAGCTCGCAGTTGATGCTGTCGAAGATGAGTTTGATATCAAAGGCGTCAGTGTGGCCATGCGGGAGGAGGATGTAAATGTGGGGGTGGCTGTGGTTGAAGCAGCGTGAACAGCTGTAGTCACGAGCGCGTCGCCGCTGCCTGAAGTATCATCATCTTGAAATGACGTTGTGACGGGCTGCGCATTGGTAGTTGTGAAGGCAAGTGTAGAGCCAGAGGCAGCATCATCGTCGTCATCATCACTTGATCTGAGAGTGGTCACTTCTGCTTCAGCGCTGCTACTGCTTGTGCTCGTACTCGTGCTGGTGCTGGTGAAGCTGGTCGTTGCCACGCCAGAACTAGACGTGGGAACAGTACTTTCCTCTTCACGAGTAGTCGTACTAATGCTCGTGCTTGGGTCCGTGCTACTGATAATGGCACTGCTGCTGCTGCTCGTGCTGATACTAGCACTGGTACTGGTACTGGTACTCGTACTCGTACTGGTACTCGTACTCGTACTCGTACTCGTACTGGTATTGCTGCTTGTTGGAGGATTCCAGCGAATGTAGTCGACAACGATGCTGGCCGAAGTATCAGCTGAAGGCACTGCTGCAAGAGTCAAGGTGACGAGTGTGGGTGGCTGAGCGAGCATTGACGCAACATCAAGAGCAATGCTGTATTCAGAAAAATTGCCAGGCCTGAGGGCTTGAAGCTCAAGCATGGCCCCGATGGCTGCGCCATTTGCAGGAGTGAGTGTCACGTTGAGCTGCGGTAGCCATTGACTGCCCAGCTCACGACCAACACGCACGACCAAGCTCAGCGGGAATAATGTTCCAGCCTCTGGAATTGTGGCTTCAGGTGGACTGAGGAAGAGCTTCACCGTCTGCGTGAGAGCAGCAGCCGTATTGGAAAATAAAAAGGCCCCATGTGTGTTCTGGACCTGTCCCAAATTGAAGCGACTTGGGCTCAAGGGGGCCACGCCGGCAATGCCTGCAACCGTTTCCCAGCCATTGACGGCTGTGGTGAAGCGGCTTGGTGCGCCAACGTCGAATTCATTGTTGAAAATAGATATGTTGACCACAGGGGCTGATGACGGTGAGGTTGTAACAGAGAGACTTGTGGTGGGACTTGGAGTGCTTGGCGTGGTGCTGGTATCTGATACTGTACTTGACATGTCTAATAGAATCCCGATACAAGTCGAAAGAGAGCATGGAAGTGAGCAAAGGAACGTTGGCCAGCGACCGTCCATCAATCAACAAAAGAAAGCTCACCAGTGCTGGAAGACGCTGTCGCGCATGGGCCATAATAAAATAGAGTCGTTCCGGAGCACTCGAGCGCGCAGAGTGAGTTGTAAGTGTGGCCGTCTCGACCGCAAACGGTCACAGGCGGCGCATCCTCACAGGCACAGATGGCGTCCATCGTGGTCATGGGATCATCGGTGGTGGTAAGCACTTCGGGCCCGTCGGACACTGTTTCGAGGGCTACATCATCCAGTAGCACCAGGCTGCCACCCAGCACAGGATGCGGCTCAGAATGGCACTGGATGGTAATCAGATCAACGCGAGACAGGACAAAACTGAGGTCGACGCGTAGAACATCACCGTTGGCTAGCACGAAGGATTCGTCAAGGATGGTTACATCGGGTGCGCCATTGGCGGTGACGAGAATGCGAGCAAGAGAAGCCGAGCCCGAGCCACCTGTGATCTTGGCAGGCTGCGTGCTGGCATCACGGGGACGGCCAAGCGAGAGCTGGAGACGAAAGGAATCAGGTAGCAAGAGCACCGACTGGGCTATGGTGGTCCCAAGAGGAAGAGCCAGGACCCTGTTGCCGTAGAACATGTAGGGATTTAGGGCAAAAGCAGTCAACGCAACGGTGGTATTGAAAGGAAGCAGTGCTGTATAGGGGCTGGCGTCGGCTGCCAACTGCGCAGGGGCTGGTCTTGGACATCAAAGCCGGGGTTGTCCAATAGGCTGCTGGCGTGAGCTGCGCAAATCAATATGCTAAGCAGCACTACTAGCGGGCCCCAGAAATAGGGGCACGGCGCTTGTGGGCCCATGCGGCTTGTGTACATGTTTGGCATGATTCAAGGGCGCGTGCACGCTGCTTGTACGGGGGAAGAAGCCGTATGCAAGGAGAGCAGACCCGACATGCGAGACAACAAACAACGTGTGCTCAGGTGGCGGATCGGCGGAGCATGGTGAAGGAGGCAGCCCAAGGCTCTTCGTACGCCAAGCGCAAACGTGGGCGTGGTCTCAGCTGCTGCGAGACCGCACGATGCGAAGAGGGAAGGAGGATGGGGCACTGATACTGGCGGCCGGCAGGAGACACGGCTTGCGATGTGAGCCAGAGAATCGTGGTCGACGTGAAATGAACCTGGCAGCGCATGCATCGAGGGCGTTTAGCGCCTTGCTCTAGTCGCATTGTTGATGCTTGGTTGGCCACAACGAGCCACGGCCTGTGCGGACAGCCCGCCGATCATCATGCGTACATGCACGCATTGTTCATGCGATATCGTCACTGCATTCGATATGCGTATCGTTAATACCGTTATAGTGTGACTCTATACACGCTTCCGCTTCCGCTTCATTCTCACGCACACACACACACACACACACACACACACACACACACACACACACACACACACACACACACACACACACACACACACACACACACACACACACACACACACAGAGTGCGAAACGGCAGCGCCTTGGCCCCTGCTTCTCCAACTGGCCTGTGGAGCGCACGTCCGGTGCCAGTGTGGTGGTACTGATCCATGCACGATGGATGATACGACTGTTTTGCTTCCGAGCCCTCTCGCCGCACGGTATGCTGCTGCCTACCGTCCCCATGATCGGGTTGATCTGCCCAGCCCTCGATACGCTCATGATGTGGACGCGTGCAGGGAGTCGAGTGAAGATGTGCATGTCGTTGCCTTTATCGGGACCTCAAGCGATGGCTACGTCTGCCGTCCAGCATTGATCAATGCCATCATTGCCAAAGATGTCTTTGCGGTAGGCACACCCGATCCTCGCCGATCCTGACTGACGTGCGTGTGTGCACCAGCTACGCTCACAGCGGACTGCAACCTCGCCCTCATCACTCGGGACCTGGCCGCTAGCCCGAGACCACAGCACCAGTGCCCGAGCACCCAGCCTTGGAATTGAATCAGGAAATTGGTGCACTGGTTCGTCTCGTTGATGAACGGCCTGATTGCTCCTCAGTCACCCGCCATGTTGCGCCAGGCGTTTTACTGACCAGGTGTAACCCCTCAGATTCAAGCCCATTACGACAAACCGCGGCAGCTCGTCTATCTGTCGTTGACGCAACCACAGGAAGCCTGCATGCTTTACGCCCAGCGTGAAAAATACATGCAGGCTGAAGCATCTGTGCGTTATAGCCACTTCCCCGTCGGAAAAAAAACCCCCCTTGTGCCCTCTGACCGCAAGTGTTTGCGTCGACCGCGCAGGATTATCATGAGGCAATGGCCCAGATGCAACAACAACAGCTTCGAGCACTCTTGCACATCTTTGTCGTGGCCCACTCTGTCGTCTTGCTACACCCCTCTGCTGAGTTTGACACGGGCCTAATAGCTACCTTTCGACTCTTGGAGAAAGCCCGCGCCCAACTCGTAAGCCTGACCCCGCCCCACCTTGCCTTGCCGCGCAAACAAGATTTGGTGCACGATTCGCCCTGACCGTGTGCAAAAATTAGCGTCTCATCCATCTGCCTCACACCTCTCTCTTTCTTCTTACTGGTCGCAATGTTGGTGTGACCCTGTGTCGATCTTGCTAATGCCGTACGCTGGCTCTCTTGCCCCCTTCTACCCCCCCTCCCCCCAACCCTATCTGCGGTCCAGGCACGGGAATGGCCTGGCCTCCAGCGCCCCATCCTACGCATGCTCTTCCAGCTTCAACTGGATGGCAAAGCACAGCGTACTGCCAAGGTGGCTAGTGATCGCTTGCAGGCCAGCCTGCAAGCCCGGCTCAAGCGCGTACTGGCGCGTGCTAATCTCGAAACCCTTCCAAACGAAGAAAGGTGCGCAATACTACCACTACAGCCAACGCCGCACCCCTTGTCAGACAGCAGAGTGCCTCGTTGTCCTCTTTCTCTCTCTCTCTCTCTCTCTCTCTCTCTCTCTCTCTCTCTCTCTCTCTCTCTCTCTCTCTCTCCCGCTCGCTCACTCCTGTCTCCCGCGCCTCTTTTTATTTGCTTTTGGTTTTTTGTTTTTCTTGTTTTTTTGTTTTTGTTTTTTGCCCAGTCGACAGCGAGGTCGGGAGGACGCCCGTTTGTTTGATTTGCCCCCCGGAGATTTTGTCTTTGTGCATGCTCGGGATCAGCGCCCCGCACAGGTACGCAGTCGTGCTTGCTCCTTGAAAGCGTAGGCTCGTTGATAATCCTGTCGGCTCCGTCCCCGAAGCTTTGTGGGATCGGATTGATTTGTGGTTGTTTCATTCGTTGTGTCATTGTGGTCTGCTTTCTTGACTGACGCCATGCCGCATTGATGATGTTGGTTATCACATGACCTGCCTAATGCGCCCTTGCTGTTGCCACAGGGTGCGGGCGGTCGACTTGAGGAAGTTACCTTTGACCCCGTCACTCGTCTTCTGGACACGTATGGACTCAAGCCACAAGCTATATTTGCTGGCCTCGGCTCACTCGTGCTTCAATCCAAAGTTCTTCAAGCCGACGAAGCACGGACAAATACAGCAACCCCCAGCCAGAAGCAGAATAGTAACAGCCGCGAATCGGCGCTTGGCGCCCTGCGCGATGCCCTGGCTTCAGACAAGCAGCATTTGGCAGAGACCAGTGGCGCCTTCTTGGTGCGAGATGACACGGACAATTCAGTCCGCCACCACACCTCGGCTCAAACTTTTTTTCGATGGGCTTCGGATCTCCATGCTGATCTAGTCTTGCCTTCAGGACGCCGTCAAGCCTATCGCGCCATTCATCCGGCCACCTTGCGCGCTTCGGGACATGAGGAGGGACCTGATGACGGGGAATCAGTTCGTGAGGACATTTTGCGCGTCTTGGACGCGTTGGACCTGAGCGATGATGAGGAGAGCGGTAGTGCAACTCACATGGGCAGTGAACGTGTGGCCGAGCCCTTGGCTGAGGTCAAGGCAATTTTGTGCGCTCCCACCACTGCGCTTGAAACCTGGTCACAACACCACTGCCAGCACGCCGGTGCTTTTGCAGCGGAGACCTACCGTCGGGATTTGCCCGCGGCCTACAACGCCAGCACACACTACGAACACCTGATGCACGCCTTGGTGACCTTTGCCAACACGGCTCGCGGTTCCATGTACAGCTCAGGGGTCAAATCGATGCAAGAAGCCTTGCAGTCTTACTGGACCGATGGTCGCCAGCTGTGTGAACTCCGTAGCGTCACGGGACGCCATTGTCGGCACCGGCTGCATGTCACGCCGGAACAGATGCAGGCGAGAGCTCCGTCAGCTCCCAGCGCAGCCCAGTCCCTGCCCATCAAGCCCCACGACAGCGGTGCCTCCTGGCGATGCACGTGTGTGTGTGGGCGCTCCCAACTGGCCGTTCCTGACGTTTTTAGCGTCAAGGCAATTGGTGACTACTTTGTCGAGCTGACTTGCTGTGCACAGGCGGTGACGTTAGCGCGACCCGTGGCCCAGTCCGCCACGCCACTCGAAGACGATGATGCTGTTGAAGCTCTGAGTGCAAGTGACGGTGCTGCAGATGACGGGGTGGCCCCCACGGGTACCCATTCCGCCGATTTACCCGCGAACACAACCGGCGCACCCGCCCCCACTCGAGGGCGAGGTCGAAGTCATGTCCGCAAGTCGACTTCCAGCAATCCGCTGAGCAAGCTGATGGCAGAGCAAGAGATGTCAGCCACCGCTGATGGCGCTGGCACGACCGGTGCTGAGTGCCGGATATCATTATTCCCAGGACGACGCCCCGATTGCTGCTGCATGGTGTACCAGCTTGGTGATGCCGAAGCGTACCAGCCAACCACAGGTCTAACTGGCCGTCCGGGGCTCATAAACTCTGCAGCTTATCTATTACCCTGGGAAGTGCCTCTGAATGACCGGATGGCCGCACTCTTCCCTGGTCGCGGGGTCTCAGTCTGGTCCAAGAGCAAGCTGCAGCGGAAAGCACGAGTCTGGGTGGGATACGAGTACGAAACAGCCGAAGGGGTGCGATTCTTTGCCGCCGGACCAAATCGTGCCGTCAAGATGTCCGCCTCGGGCCACCTCAAGGTAAGCTGCTTTTTGTCAACTGCAAGCGCGGGTCTTGCTCAAAAGGTGGTTTATATCCTGTTTTCCCTTTTCTTCTTCTCCTTCCTCTTCTCTCTCTCTTCTTCTTCTTCTCCTTCTCCTCCTTTTTCTTCGTCTGCTGCTACCCCTTTCTCGCTCGGGTCGTTCATCTCCGACGCCTGTCATCTTTGGGACAGGGAATGGCCAACAAGGCCATTGGCTCAGCATTGCCCATCGTCATGCCCGCACCCATCAAGGGCAGCCCTCAGGTTGGTGCCTGCTGCGTGACGCGACACTCTGATTCGAATACCCATGTCAACATACAGCCTCTGCCAACTCTCATGCACGGCACCCACAGGCACAATTGGTTCGCTTGCACGTGGTGGTTCCCAACGCGCCTGTAGCAGTTGTGGTTCAGCCGATTGTGCAGCTGAAAGAAAAGCCACCAATCTTGTACAAGGCCGAGTGTGGCGTGCGTCTGGAGCCCGATAGCTACGTCGTGTACCAGCTCCCCCGAATATTCTGTCATGAGGGCAAGCCTGTGCTGCTTCCCACACACGAAGAGGCACGCAAGCAGTGGATGCTTCGTCCAAATGCCATTTTTGTGGAGTCTGCATAATGACTTGATGTTCTTGGCGTTGTTGGTCGGGAATTGTCCTTCCTGCACTCGCTCAGACTCGGCGCCGAGCGCCGTGTGGTCTCAGAGTAGTGAATAGACAAGTGGTTTGAATTACGTCCCCAGTTGAGCATACATCCTCCAATGTTTTTCTGGAGGCCTGGCTTTGAATCAGGAGCAGTGTTGCTACAAAAGGGCTAAGGTGAAGAGCTGAAGAATAAATTCAATGCCGACACGTCATCATACATTTGTGGTTGGACAAGAGATGGAAATTTCAGGCCTACTTGGCTGTGGCAGACTTGTCCCGGGCACGAATCAGAACATCAGAATCTCGCGGGACCCAAACCAAACCGTCATCCTCGAGGAGGCGAACCTGGTACGGCGCAAAGCGACCAGTCTCCCAGAGAGGCTCGCGGTACCACAAGGCCGTGATGACACCAGCAGCCCAAGGTCCGACCTTGGCCATGACCGGATCGCCAACTTTGAAGCGCAACTTTTGCTTGGGCGGTGAACCGGGCTCTGGAAATTTACCGTTGAACACACAGGCCTGAAAGCCAGCGGTCAGCTCAGCACGATCAAGATTGCGACCAATAAAGCACAACTTGTTGACACGCTTCTCGCCGGGCTGCCAGGGTGTCAGGTTGAGGCCCAGTTGACCAGAGCCGCCCATGTTGAGGAGCATGTGAACGCCCTGGAAGACAAACTTTTCATCCGTGCCCATCATGGCGAGAATTCCCTGTGTCAAAGTCAGTGCGAAAGACGGGGTGGTGAGTCAGAGAACCTTTCAGCCCACCATGACTCTGAAGGAGGACTGAAGTGCGCGGCACTGCAGGCACGGCACTGCAGGCGAGGCTGCAAACCTTGGAGCGAAAGATGTCGGCACCCTTGGTGCGTAAAATTTCGGACAGCCAGTCATTGAGGCGGTTGGGAATGCATTCTCCCTCAATGACAATGCCCACGGAGGACACGCTCTTGTCATGAAGATGGTCGGCGTCCGTGTCGAGAAATTCGGCGTCCATTTGCAGTGTTTTCTCCAGATCAAAGGCGCGAATATTGAGCACGGCATCGAGGGGAATGCGACTTTGCTCAGACTCCAGCATGCGGGCCGTGGCATTGATGCCAGCAAGGCGCTTGCGCAATTCTTTGATCTCTGCGGCTGAGACAAGATCAGTCTTGTTGAGGACGAGAACGTCGGCAAAAGCCACTTGCTCGATGGCCTCATTCTCGACACCTTCGGGCTTGATCTCCTCGAGGTGAGACGAGATGTGTTGGCAATCCACAAAGGTCACGATCGAGTCGAGCACATAGAGTTGGCTAATCTTTTCGTCCACGAAAAAGGTTTGAGCAACCGGTGCTGGATCTGCCAAGCCGGTTGTCTCAATCACAACGTAGTCGAACATGTGGCGGCGCTCCGTGGCAAGCCGCGTCAGGGCCTGAATGAGGTCGTCTCGTACCGTGCA